TGAGGGGAAGCCACGATCCGAGGCCGCTTCGAGGCAGAAGCGCGCATTCCTCGCCGCCTATCCATCCACCACCCCACCTCCCTCCTCCGCCTCTTGGGCCCCTCGATCGCCATCCTCATGATATGATAACCCTCCTTCTTATTCTCCTCATCCTGCTCAGCTTCATGCTGCTCCTCCCCCTCCTCCTCCAGATCAGTTTCTCCATCGTCATCCAAAACCTCGTTCCTCTCCTGCACTTCCACCTCCTTGTGCTCGTACTCTTCTTCTTCTTCTTATTATTGTTATTATTATTATAATTAGTATTATTATTATTATAGTTATTATTATTATTATCATTATTAGTATTATTAGTCGTAGTAGTAGTAGTAGTAGTAGTAGTAGTAGTAGTAGCGTAGTAGTAGTAGTAGTAGTAGTAGTAGTAGTAGTAGTAGTAGTAGTAGTAGTAGTAGTAGTAGTAGTAGTAGTAGTAGTAGTAGTAGTAGTAGTAGTAGTAGTAGTAGTAGTAGTAGTAGTAGTAGTAGTAGTAGTAGTAGTAGTAGTAGTAGTAGTAGTAGTAGTAGTAGTAGTAGTAGTAGTAGTAGTAGTAGTAGTAGTAGTAGTAGTAGTAGTAGTAGTAGTAGTAGTAGTAGTAGTAGTAGTAGTATGATTCGTATTATTAGTATTATTACTATTATTATCATTAATATTTTTCCTCCTCCTCCTCCTCCTCCTCCTCATTCGCCCCCTCTCGCCATCCTTGCCGTGATGGAGACGGGCTCAGGACCCCTTTGGGCCTTCCCCCAACGCCAACGCAATAGCTTCGCCCCGAGCTCTTGTTCACAGAATGCCTGGGTCCAGGGAAGGCCCCCGGGGATCCCGAAAACGGCGAGAAGCCTCAGCACCCGTTTCCCTCGGGACCCGCTTCCTGCATGGCGACCAGAGGCGCAGACCCAGCGCGGTGCCAGCGTACGAGTTGACGGCGACGGCCGCACGCGGGGGGTGGGGACCACTGGCTGGACGGAGAGGCGCGCACAGGTCGGCCGTGCTGGACGGCGCCTTTGAGCCGAGACAGGCGGCTGGTCCCACACGCTGAGTAGCTCTACACGGGGCGGTGGTCCCGCCCCTGCCAGAGGGAACGGCAACAGGAGATGGAATGCCAAAACAAAAATCAGCCAATCCTGTCGGCGTGTGTGAAACGTTTTTCCGTTGGACTCGTCGTCGTCGTCGCCGTCGCCGTTCCCCCCCTTTCCCTGGGCCCTCCTCCATCGAGCCAAACGGAACTCAACAACATCGTCGTAATTGATTCGAAGGGAAGTCCTTTCCCTTTGATCCATTCCCTGCAGGGGGGGCGGGTGTCCTGGGGGTCCCGTGGGAGGGGACCGGGGGGGTGTCGCCGGGAGGGGGCTGGGGGGATCCCCTGGGGGGACCCAGGGTCGTGACCTCCCCCCGAGGGAGTTTTCCGTGTAGGCAAGGGAGGCAGGGGGGGGTCTCCCTGTGAACATTGGGAAATCGAGACCCATGCCCCCGCCTCCCCCTTGTGGACAAGGGGACCACCACCACTACTCGTCTTCCCGGACCCCCGATGACACCCCGCCCCGGAGGTACCCTCATCATTCTTGTCTGCTGTCACGGGGTGTTGCGTATTTTCCCATATGCCTCCGAGGGACCTCAGCTCCGTTTCGACGCGGCTCCGAGTGACCACGGAGCTCACCAAGAAGTTCCTCAAGGGGCCCCCCCGCAGAGCCCAAGGGGCTCCCAAGAGAGCCGCCGCCGCCGCCGCCGCCGCCGCCGGCGCCGCCGCCGCCGTCGTCGTCGTCGTCGTCGTCGTCGTCGTCGTCGTCGTCGTCGTCGTCGTCGTCGTCGTCGTCGCCGTCTTCGTCGTCGTCGTCGTCGTCGTCGTCGTCGTCCCCCTGCAGGGTTGGCGGCACCAGCCGCAAGGCCTTCCCAATAGATTGCCGGAAGTCCGCGCGGACTTCTGGGATCGGCGCGGACCACCGCCCCCTCCCTTGCAGCGCGGAGCGCGCCAGGCCTTCCCCGGCGCAGCCAGGGGGACCCGGGGCCGACCCCAGGAATCCAGAGCGGACCTCAGATAGGCTGGGCTCGCGAGGCTGCCTCGTCTTCCAATCACGCCCCTGCCTCTGCCCTGCCCAGGGGGCAAGTGCAAGGCGCTGATATACCGCAGGAGAGCTGGAACGCCCCCCCCCCCCCCGTACACAAACACATACACACGCACACTTTGCAGCGTCGCGGCCCTGCGCGCAGCGACAGAGCTGAGAAAGTCTTGGAGCAACAATCGCGCACGCGCGCGCATGCGTCGAGAAACGCCCGAGCCTTCAGAAACCACAGCGGGCCCCGCTGCAGCCGCCGCCATAAGCCATCTGTGCGTGGATGGCCACGCAGAGAGAGATATATATATATATATATATATATATATATCGCGCGAGAGGGAGAGAGATTAGTCTACTTATATTTTCACAGGGCCGGGAACCCCCACCGAACGAATTTCGACCACCGCGGGCGCCCAACCAAGAGGCCCCCAAGACGGCCCCAAAGAGATCCAATACGGTTCTAAGACAGCCGAAGAGCGCTCCAAAACGGCCCCAGATGGCTCCACGACAGTTCAAGAGACTCCCAGAACGCCGAGAAAGGCTCCCAAGTAGCTCCAAGACGGTCCAAGAGGCCGCCCCAGGACGCCCCGAAGAGCCCCGAGAGAAGGCCAAACAAGCTAAAGTGTTTCCATTCCTTAAGGGAAACGTGCATGTTCAACCGTACTCGCTTGTTTGTTCCCCAAATAGTTCAAGACCCCCCCTGAACGCCCCCAAACGGATCCAGAGGCTCCCACAAACCCCCAAGAGGGCCCCAAGACAGCCCCAGAGAGCTCCACGACGACCTAACATAGCCACAAGACGGCCCAAGAGAGCCCCGAGACGGCCCAAAGAGGCTCCCAAGAAAGCCCCAAGACAGCCACAAATTGAGCCCCACAACGGCCAGAGCCTCCCGAGACGGCCCACAAGGGCTCCAAAACGGTCCAAGAAGGCCCCAAGACGGTCCAGAAGGGCCTCTAAGAAAACCCTGAAGCGCCCCACAACAGGGACTCGCCTCCCACTTCGTCTGTGCTTCCCCTTTCTGTGCTCACGACTACTCCAGAAGCTGGGATACTGAGGGGCCGGAGGATTCCGACCTATTAACTGCATGCCTACACATGCGATAGATTCAATGATTGACATGGGGTGGTGTATCGATTCCCCATCACACGGGTGGCGTTGCATCCTTTGCTTGCGCAGCCCCCAAGGCGCTTTCGCAAGATGCCCAGACAGTCCTCCAAGGAGGAGGCCACGCAAAAACATCTAATAACAGTAACAAGGACGCGTTCGCAAACAACGTAAAAACGGTGAGAACCCACGAAGGAGAGGTGATATATATATATATATATATATATACACACCATATGTGTGACAACGGTGGTGCTTACGACAAAAAGTAACCTTCGTCCTTGTGGCCTGTCCTTCTCTCTCTATCTCTCTCTCTCTCTCGCCCTCCCGCGCCCCGCCTGCCGCCTGCGCGCCGATCCCGAAGGGCCAAGGTGCATGGCGCGAAGCGCCAATCAAGTCTTGTGTACGTATCTATATATACATATATATACGTGTACATATATATACATATACACACTGCTTGGCGTCGCGGCCACGCGCGTAGCAGGGCAGCGGAGCCAAGCGGAAGTATGAGTATGCGCGCGGACGGGCTCAGGTCAACGCGCGCGCACACACAGATAACACACACACACACACACACGCACACACACACACACAGATAACACACACACGCACACTTTTAGCGTCGCAGCCACGCGCGCAGCGGGGCGTCCTAGTACAGGTCGAGCCGACAGAGCGAGGCGCGGGTGGGCCAGCCCAGATCACGCGGCGTGAAGATGCTGGATCCGCTCGGAGGGGATAAGAAGGATCACTCACGAGGGGAGCAGCGAGGGACAGGGGAGCAGCGAGGGGCAGGGGAGCAGCGAGGGACAGGGGAGCGGCGAGGGACAGGGGAGAGACGCGAGGGGAGCAGCGAGGGGAGCAGCGAGGGACAGGGGAGAGACGGGGGATGAGCTGCGAGGGACAGGGGAGAGAGGGGATAAGCAAGATCACTTACGAGGGGGGGCCGTCGCGAGGGGAGCAGCGAGGGACAGGGGAGAGACGGGGGATGAGCTGCAGAGGAGCGGCGCAGCAGTGCGAGATAAGGCCGGGAGGAGGCGCGGCAAGCGGCCCGCGACGGCGGTGCGAAGGCAGGGCGAGGAAGCAGACATCAATGGAGGCCCTGTGATCCAGAAGGCGGAGGGGGGGGATGCACACACACAGACAGAGACACACGCGCACCCAAGCAAACATGCGCACACACACACACACACACACACACGCACACACAGACACACACAGACACACGCGCACACACAGACACACGCGCACCCAAGCAAACATGCGCACACACACACACACCTGTTTTCCTCCAGCGGCGAGGTGATGACACCGTCGCGGTGCGCTACGCCAGGACACGTTTCGGCGAATCACCGCCTTGCGTGGCAGATTGGTGGACTGGATAAGGGGCAGTCACATGCAGAAAACACAGACACACGCACACACACACACACACACACACTTGGCGTCGAGGCAGCCGCGCGCGCAGCGACACGGCGGAACCAATCAATCTCTCTCCCCCGGATTGGCTGCCGCCGCCCCAATTCCCCCTTCCGCGTTGCCACTCACACGATATGCGCGCCAGGGAGGGCGCAAGGGGTCGACTCGACTCGACTCGGATGAAACCTCATGGTCAGCCTGCAGAGAAGCCTCAGCACTGTCGAGCGAAACTAACAAACAAGCGACGAGGGTTGAGAGACCCCGTCCACCGAGGAGGAGGGAGGAAGGCAAGGAGAAGGGAGGGATGAGGAGGTGGACCTGCGCGCAGAAACACGCCACCGTGCCTTGAGCACGTAGTGGAGCGGCCCTGGTGCAAGGGCGGGGTTCCATCTAGCGTAACTTCTGGTCGATGCGGGACTCCACCTTGTTGAGACCGTTCTTCCCGAAGCAGACCTCTTCTTCCAGAGAGGGAGGCAGGACGGGCGCAGGCCAGAGGACGGATGGGCCGAGGGCCGGCTCAGCAAGAGGAAGGGGGGCCGCAGGAGGAACCAGAGACTCCGCGGCCCCCAGACCGCGCGGCATCGGACCGCGTCGTGCGCGGACTCTCCGCGCGGCCCGCCACCGAGCGGCTCTGGGACCTCGAAAGGCCCCTGGGCGCTCGAGAGACGCCCCGGGAGAACGGCTCGAGCCCCGGAGCCGCGCGGGCGAGCCCGAGCCCCACCCGGCTCTCACCCGCGCGGTGTGGCCACCACGCCGCCTGGGCGCCCCCGAGAAACTAAAGGGGCCCTGGGACACACAAATAAATACACACAAATAAAAGGATCCCCCATCTTTTCCAATATTTTTTTTTTTTTCTCTCTCTCTCTCTTTCTCTCTCTCCCTCTCTCTCTCTCTCTTTTTGCCTTCCCCACCACTGCCCACATTTTCCCATATCTTCCGGGGGAATGGAGGATCAATTGCGTCTGTGTGTTTCTTTCCCTCCCGAGAGGCGAAGGGGCGCGGAGGATGGCCGGGGCGAGGGTTGGAGGAGGCGCGGGAAGGGAAGACGACCTGCAGAGTTGCCACGCCGCCTGGGCGCCCCCGAGAGGCGAAGGGGCGCGGAGGATGGCCGGGGCGAGGGTCGGAGGAGGCGCGGGAGGAGGAGGCGGCCTGCAGAGCGGCAGCGTGCCCGGGCGCCGCATGGGCGGAGCGGCGGGCCTCCGCGGGGCCGGGCAGCTGGAGGGCCACGGAGGAGGGGCACGAGCTCGCGGGGAGCTAGAGAACCTGCCCGCGCCCCACAAGGAACTCCAGAGTTCGTAATAGAGGGAGGGGGGTCTCATTTCGGGGGGGGGTCTTTTCCAAGCTATCTTGGAGGGCCTGGGGGGGGTCTGGGGACGATGTTTTGGAGGGTTCTCCCACGGGGGGGGGTCTGAAATGGCTTGTCTTGGAGGGTCCAGACCCCCTCCCTTTTATTACGAAATCTGGAGAACTCCACGCGCGCACGTCCAGGGGCTGCCGCGGACCGCAGCCCTCGACACTCTCCAGAGGCGCAGTGGGTTTGGTCCCGATTGGCTGGTAAACATTGAGCTCGTGCGGGAATTCGCCCTTCGACTACCGAGTGGTCGGTTCCGGAAAACTCGACCCCAAAAATGTTGTCATCTCTTGGGGACGCGTTGTGTTACTTCCGCTGGTTTCCGCCTGCCTTCTGCCAACTGCCGTGTTTCGTCCGCTGGCTTCCGCCGGCCTTCCGCCGCCTTCCGCCGAGAAATGGATGCCAACTCAATCGCGAAATGGCAACCACAAGCTGTACTACTATACGCTGTGCCTCGGAAATTCGAGAACCTGCTCGCGCGGGAAATAGCTCCTCGGCTGCTTACTATCGACAAGACGACGTACTACGCGTCGTTTCAGATAATCCAATTAGAGAGGTAAACGGCTCTTCCTCCTTCTCCCATCATCATCATCATCATCATCTCCCTCTCCTCTTCCTCCCACTCCCCCTCCCGCTCCCCCTCCCCCTGCCTCCTCTAACTGACTTCCTCGTTTTGCCGCTTGACGGGGCCTCTGAGACAAAGCACCCAAGCAGTGCTCCTGGGGACTGAACGCAACCTCCAGGAACTGGGAACTGGAAGCTTTCCTGCTTCTCCTCCTTCCCCATCCTTATCCTCCTCCTTCCTGTTTCCTCATCCTCCTGTTTCCCCCCCCTCCTCCTCCTCTTCCTCACCCTCCTCCTCCTCCTCCTCCTCTTCCTCCTCCTCCTCCTCCTCCTCGTCCTCCTCCTCCTCCTCCTCCTCCTCCCCACCCCATGAAAAACTGTAGGACCCTTGTTCCCTGGAGGCACATGGGACTTGAGCCGCACGGCCGCCGGACCGCTGGAATCCCCCCCCGGGACGGATTATCAAATCCAGTGGGCGTCCCTCGAATTGCACCGCTGTGCCGACTACAGTGGAGGCTAGTCCACAAGAGACCTTCCACAAGAAACCCAACCCTGAGAACCCAGGACGTCCATTGATATTTTGCATGGGAACGTCACGCTTTCCGTAGCAAAACCATCGAAACCCAAGAAACCCAGGGCACCCTGGAGACAAGCAGGGTGCTTCTTGGTATGGGTCTCCACTGTACACTGCGTTGGTCGCTTCAGGCCTGGGGAAGTGTAACTTTTACACCCCCTCGGCCGCATGGCCGTAGAATGCGCCGGATGTGCAAACGTGGCAGTGATACTCTACGCCCCACGGCCGAAACCGAAGAGAGAGATTTATTTATTCATTTGTATACATATATATATATACACTAAAACCACGCGCGCGCTACGCGCGCTTAGGTTCTAGCCACAGATGAGCCACGGGTGCCGCAGTAAGCCCCGCTGCGGCCACAACGACGAGTTCCAGAGAAACGCGTAATCAGAACGCGGGGCGCCACGTCCCCGCGCATCTCACAATCTCGCTGCCGCCTTTGTTTGGCGAGCTGCGTTTTTTCTCCACTTTCACTTCCGCTCCTCTTGCACATCTGTTCAATTTCCGCATGCCCGATCACGCAGACATCCGCCGGCTCCTGATGTTTGGGTTGGCTCGGAGCCTCGTTGCGCGCGCGTGGGAGCGCGTTGTTTTCTGTTTCTCTTTCTTGTGTTCCAGGCTTCTCGTTGTCAGCGGTCGTTCAGCTGTCGGGTCCCTGCAGAGGGCGCGCGCAGATGTCCTGGTCATCAATGCCCGTCTCTGCAATCAGTTGTTGCCGACTCCGTCCACGGGAGTGGGGCCGTTTCTTTGCGTTGGACGCCAGGCCTCATGCCGGCGATCATCGCACCCGTGGGAGTACAAGGTTCGGGCTCACAGAGGATGCTCAATGATTTGCCTGGAGCTCTGACGGGGTCTCTGGCGGTACCCTCTTGGCGCTCTGGCGAGGCCTTTCAGGAGGTGAGGGAGGGGCATGGAACTGCATAATTTGTATGGTATAGCCACACCCTGCTCGCTCGGGCGGGCCGGCCCTGCAAGGGCGGGAGGAGCAAAATTCGTGTGAACTCGTATGGTGTAGAGATGCCCTGCTCTCTCTGGCGGGGGTTTCCCTGGCGCTCTGGCGGGGCTTGTCCAGGAGGGGAGGGAGGAGCACGAAACTGGAGAAAATCATGGTATAGCCACACCCCGTACGCTCTGACGGGGCTACCTTGGGTGCGGTGGGAGGAGCAAAACAAAACAGGGACAGTATACGGTATAGCAACACCACTTCGCTCTGCCGGGGCCGCCCTTGAGGGAGGGGTGGGAGGGGCAAAGCAACTTGTGAAATGATAGGGTGTAGCGATGCCCCGCTCGCTCTGGCGGGGCCTGTCTGGCGCTCTTGCGGGGCCGTCCCAAGAGAGGAGAGAGGAGCACAAAAGCTGAGGGGCGAGGGGAGGAAGAGGAGAGAGGAGGGAATGGAGGCAAGGGGAGGGGGCGGGATGGAAACAGGGACAGAGGGGGGCGGCCCGGGCCATCTGCGCTTCTTGGAGCGCCTTGGGGCCTCCCGCTCCCGCTCTGTGGCCCAGCTTGGGCCTGTCCTGGGGCTCTCTTGGGCCGTCTTGGGCTCCTGCTGGGCAAATTTCGGGCTCCCTGGGGCCGTCTTGGGGCTCTGTTGGGTGCCTCTTCGGCGGTCTTGGGGCGGTCTTGGGGGCAACTTGTGCAGTCTTCGAGCATTGGAAGCTCGAGAGCGCGAGAAAGCGAAAAACATCAATCAAACCAGTGCGAATCAATGATGTGGGCCTGTGTGGGCTCTCTCGGGAAGTCTCCTGGATCTCTCTTGGGCCCTCTTGGAGGGCTCTTGGGCTATGTGTTTTCCGACTTGAGCTCCTCTTGGGCCACGTCGGGATCATCTGGGCCGTCCTGGAGCTCCTTGGGGCCTCCCGCTCCCGCTCTAGGGCCCATCTTGTGCCTTTCCTAGGATTATCTTGGGCAGTCTTGGGCTGCTCTTAGGCAATCTTCAGGCTCTCCTGGGCCGTATTGGGACTCTTTTTGGAACCTCTTCGGCGGTTTTGGGAGCGATCTTCGGGGCGTCTTCGGCCGTCTTGGAGCGTTGGAAGCTCGAGAGCGCGAGAAAGCGAATAACATGGAAAAACGACTGGAAATCAAGGATATGGGCCTCTTCGGGCGCTCTCGGGACGCCTCTCCGAGCTCTCTTGGCCCTCTTGGAAGGCTCTTGGGCTGTGCATTGGCCGTGTTGGGCCCATCTGGGGCCGCGTTGGGCCCATCTGGGCCGTTTTGGAGCGCTTTGAGGCCACGCTGCCGCTCTGTGGCCCAGCTTGGGCCTGCCCTGGGGCTCTCGTGGGCCGTCTGGGGCTCCTCCTGGGCGATTTTCGGACTCCCTGGGGCCGTCTTAAGTTGGGGCTGCGTTGGGGGCCGGTCTTGGGGGCGTCGTCGGCCGTCGTGGAGCGTCGGAAGTTCGAGAGCGCGAGAAAACGAAACACATATAAAGAACAGCTGGAAATCAAGGATTTGGGCCTCTTCGGGACGCCTCTCGGGACGCCTCTCGGAACTCTCTTGAGGCCTCTCGGAGGCCTCTTGGTGCAGTCTGGAGCCCATCTTGGGCCACGCTGGGACTTGGAGGGGCTGGTCGAAGTCCCCCGGGGGCTTCTGGGAGCGTCTTGGAGCTCTCTGGGGCAGTTCCCAGACATCCGACGTCTCGATTTTTTCGAGACGCGGGCCCCCGACCTCCCGACCACTTCCCTGGGACCGGTTTTTCATCCCGAGTCGTTTTTTGACGGTCCCGAGGCCCGGCGAGGGCCCCGAAAGGCCAAAAACTATGAAAAACATCTGTCTCGATTTTTTCGAGACGCCCGATGCCTGGGATTGGGGACTCCACGGCCCCTCTGGGTGCTCTGCGAGCGGTCCTGGAGGCCCCGGTCCCCCCATGCGCGCGTGGGGGCCCCGGCCCCGGGCGCCCCCGGGCGCCCCCCGGCCTCTTTGCGCGGGCGGCTCGTCCTGGGCCGTCGCGGGGGCTCCCGGAGGCCG